TGGGAGGCTGAGGTGAGTGGATTGCCTGAGCCCGTAGGTTCGAGACCCGCCTGGGCAGCGAGACCTCATCTCTACAATAAATCAAAAAAAATCAGCCGGGGATGGTAGCGCGCGCTTGTAATTCTGGCTACTGGGAAGGCTGAGGCGGAAGGATCGCCGGAGCCCAGCAGGTCGAGGCTGCGGTGGCCGGGAGCGGCCATTGCACTCCAGTCTGGGCGACAGAGTGAGACTCCAACTCAAAAAAAAAAAAGAAAATATATATATATATTTTACAAAATCTTACACGACTGCTCTTTCCTTCTCTTCCCTTTGTATTAAAACATATTTTACATACGAATATTACAAATGATTCCATATATATGCTAATGTTCTGCTTTGTTAAAAAACATTCATGCGCCTGTAACATTTACAAATTTTATAGTTCCTTTGGTCAAGAAGTGCATAGGAGCTGATCTCTTAACATTTTCTACTTAGGGCAGAAGACTTATAGACTTAATGGATTTTATGAGAACAATAATATAATGTCTAAAAAATAAATTTGGTAATGACCAAAAGTTGCAAGTATGGGTCCATAGGTTTTTTGGGATTTAAATTGCTAATCAGCATTCTTATACTCACACAGTAAGGAGTTTATGTATTTGTTTCCTTGGAAAGACTGGCTTTGGCCTGGTCTTGCTAGTTTTGCTGTATAATCCAACTCCAATGATAAGGCCAAGATTATGAGAGAGTTTTACTCGATAGTAATACTGGAGGAGTGATTAGCTTGTCTTGAAACCTACACAGATAATGTTGTGAACTGTGATGGACTACTAGGATACCTCGTTTGACATGTTCTTTGTCTTTCTATAGCTTCTGAAAAATATTCCAAATTGCTGTTTTCTTTTGGAATAATAACTGATTCCTCCCATAAACACATCAAAGAATTATGTAAATCAAGTGAGAATCCTATGACGAAAAATAGATTTCCGCGCTGTTGTCATCTTCAATGTGTGCTTTGTTGTAAAACAGCCCTTGAAATGCTTAAGCCGTGTTAAAGCATGCTTACCTTATGGTCAGTTTTGACTTTGATGCAATTTCTGGTCTGTTCAAAGGGAAGTTATTTTTTTAAAGCAATTGCACTAATTCCTAGAGGACATCTTTAGGAATTGGAACGACTTTGATTTGTCAGGTCTTGGAAAATTGTTCCTGTTCCCCTTCTTTCTCCTGTGTCTCTTTTTCCCTGTTTTTATTTTGAATACAATGGACCCAGATCCAGGCCTGCTCTGCCTTTATCAGGGTATTTGCAGTTCCATGTGAGCAAGACTCTTGTACCTTTGATGGCCCACCCCGCTACTCCCTCCCTCTTCAGAGCAGGTTGCAAGTTGCATAGGAGATAAGAGGGACACATTCCTGTGGAAAGCCTGGGAAGGGCCCTCAGGGGATGGGAAGGTTGGGTTGTGATACCAGTGATTCAACCCCTATATAAGTTGCTCTCATTTATTATTATCATTCACACTTATTTTAGAAAGGAATGCAGAAGATACTGGGTTTGAGAGCCACCATATTTTAATCAGGTCGTTTTGGAAAAGATTTGTGAACTCTCTATCTATAAAATGAAGATAAATCGTAATATGTCTACATATTACAACCGTAGGGTTGTTGTGGAGATAATGATGAAATTATACATAGGAAGTGTCTAGCACAGTGCCCAGCCCAGAGTGAGATTTAATGCCAGAACTGTCTCTCTATTAGTAAATAAGGTCCTAGCAGTGTACATTCTTTGGTGGTCTTTCGGGACAAATGAAAACTGCAGACACCCCGGGGAATAACTCTGAACTTTAGGAGTATAATGCCATTAGCTTGGTGCTACCAATGTAAGAAGATAATGGTGACCTTTATTAAACTGGCCTCCTGGATCTTTGTTCCTTTGACTTAAATCTAGAGTTCGTTGAAGTTAAACCCTTCTCCCATCCCGTAGGCCTCTGTGCCTAGTAAATTTGGTTATAAACACCATTCAACCATTAAAGCCCCGGTGAAGTCAAGTGGGTATTTGATTACAGGTTTGATTAATGGAACCCAGACCTAAAACTAACTGTAACCATTCCGGATTCCTTAAATCTTGGAAACATTTGAGAACTAAAACACTGTGGGTGTAAGTCGTTAAAGTAATTGATGCCCCTAGAGAGGACCTTTTATATCCACTCATTTTAAAGTCTGCAGACTTTTTTCTTAGTTACTTGTTTTCTTTCCCTCCCCATGAACAGAGAATTTTTCTGAACGTAGGCGCTATCTTTGTTTATTCTATAAACAGACCACCACATAATCTATGAAATCAAGCCAGGCTTATCAGGCAGGCAAAACTACTTTCTATCCTGGTGCATCAAAGTTGTCAGGCAAGCCACAAGAACAGGATCCTGAAGACAGAAGTTCCATGGTCAGTTGGAATTTGCATGAATTAAATGCTCTTACCCTATGGAAATGTAAAAATTGTAATCTTAGGAAGAACTGGAAAACCAGTGGGGAGATCTGTGGCAGAAGACTGCAAACAGACACAGGTTCACTGGAGGAAGGCTGAGTGATGTTCATCTGGACGATGTTAGAAAAAACAGGACCTGAAGGGCTATCATTCACACTTGTACATACCATTTGGTCCTGCATGTTTAAAGAGTTGCTTTGGCCGGGCTCAGTGACTCAGCCTGTACCCTAGCACTTTGGGAGGCCATGGTGAGTGGATTGCCTGAGCCCGTGGGTTCAAGATCTACCTGGGCAACTTGGCGAGACCTCATCTCTACAATAAATCAAAAACTAGCTGGGTGTAGTAGTGTGCACCTGTAGTTCTGGCTACTTGGAGAGCTGAGGCGGAAGGATCCCAAGAGCCCAGCAGGTCGAGGCTGCGGTGGCTGGGAGCATGCCACTGCCCTCCAGTCTAGATGACAGAGTGAGACTCTGACTCAAAAAAAAAAAAGAGTTGCTTTTTTCGGCTATTACATTTTTTTTTTTAGTTATTTCATTTTCAATGAAACTATTTCCCTAATTTTAAATTGACATTACTATTTGGCAGGGACAAAGATATTCAAAATTAAAATATGATTCCTGTTGCAAAGAAGAATATGATCCAAGTTTTTTAAACTCAGTAAGATTTTGATCCTTGAAGTTATAGCATGCAAATTTTCAAGTAATCATAATCTATTGCTATAACTATACCACACATTATTTTGTCCTATGCAGGAAGATATAGAAAGGATTGGATATTAAAGATTGCTCCAGGTTTGTTTTGTTTGTTTTTCTGTATAAGAGCTCTCTACAATTTTTTTTTTTTTGAGTTGGAGTCTCACTCTGTCACCCAGACTGGAGTGCAGTGGCCGCTCCCGGCCACCGCAGCCTCGATCTGCTGGGCTCCGGCGATCCTTCCACCTCAGCCTTCCAAATAGCTGGAACTACAGGCGTGCGCTACCACGCCCGGCTAATTTTTTGACTTATTGTAGAGATGAGGTCTCGCCAAGTTGCCCAGGCGGGTCTCGAACCCGCGGGCTCAGGCAATCCTCTCACCTCAGCCTCCCAAAGTGCTGGGATTACAGGCTGAGCCACCGAGCCTGGCTGCTCTCTACAATTTTAAACAGGCTCTCCAAGATGATTTTTCTTAGCTGATAACTGAAATTTTTTGTTGTTGCTGTTTTAATTTGAATTTTGGTTTGAGAGACTACCCTGTTTATATTGCTGACATCTCTACTTGGTTGCTTGTTGCTGTTCCTGTTTGTGTGAAAAAGGCATCACAGGCTTTTATTTCTTGGTACTGTGTGTGGAGCTCTTTAATGACTCAACCTAAAGTGTTATGGGAAGAAGAAGTGAGAACAAGTCCTTGAGAGTTGTTTATTCCATGAAGGATCAGAGGCATCTGACTGTACCATAGCAGTGTTTCCTTTCACTAGTACAGATAGTACAGATTAAATTTAAGGAGAAAATTTAAGAGATATAAAGGGTATTTTTAAATTATTCACTTTTAAAAGAAGTTTCTAATACTCTTCTAGGTTATAGATGTTAATAGATACAAAGAAAGTCATTAGATATGTGAATTGTTTGTAAAGAGCAATATTTATCCACCCATCAGTGAGTGCCTATTTTTGCTAATGTCATCTCTTTGCTCTGTAGGCGCCTAAATACTTTAAACAAATGTGCAGTGATGAAGCTGGAAATTAGTCCTCATCGGAAAAGAGTGAGTATATAAATTGTATACTAGGATAGGAGGAAAAGGGACAAGCCAAAAACAAGATTTTGTGTGTCTTGTAATAAGTTTTGTTTCTCAAACTCTTATTTTCTCGTTCTGCAAGTATCTACATTTTAATGTTTTATACACTGGTCAAGTTTACCAAAGACTTTATAGCCTTATGTCCTTGAAACCAATAGTTGCAGCTACCCAATAAATTGTTTTATCTGTTTTTGACCTGAACAAATCACCTAATATTTTGCCTAATTAACTCAATGCCTACTGCATAATAAAGAAATGAGGCTTAAGGAATTCCAGTGGACTTTTGCATTGCTTTCTAGAGAAAATGAAGCTAACGTTCTTTCCAAAGGCTTCTATCTTCCCAGATATAACAGGAACTATTTTTCAAAGCTGTAAATATGAAAGGGAAGGCTGGTTTGTCCTGGTTTGAAGAATAGTAAGAGATTTGGATGGAAGAAAGGAATTGGGAGGAAGTGGAGAGGAAAATCCCACACATTTTAGTGAAACGGTGACACATAGCTGAATTGGTTGGTATTTTCTTCTATGTGTGAGTTGTGAGGACCTTTTATGAGATTTGAAGAGAAGAGGTGGGTGTAGAACTGGGAGTGAGTGTCACAAATTAGAGTAAACAGGAATAAGTTTGGTCAAAGAACATATTTCTGACTGTTCCAAGTACATAGTTTTAATTATCCTAGATGAGTCCCTGACCTGCAAAAAGTTGCCCTCTTGAGGAGTTAAACCTTTTAAACAAATGAGCTGGAACCTCAGCACCCACCGAGCTGTGCAGAAGAGTCCCACAAGTCAGCATTTCATGCTCTCTACTTGTTGTCCTGTGAAACTTGGGTAATATGATATTTTCCATACCAGTGGAAAAGATATGGATCACACCGAATTGTGCCTTTTGATATACTGTCAAAAAGGCCAAGATGCAGTAGTCCATGAGACAGCGTATCCCTGAGTCCTGCACATAAATCAGGTCTAATCTGCAAAGATATTACTGAGTGCTTACACATATTAGTATGCTGTCCAAGCTGGGTATTTGTGAAGCCTTGTTAAATTGCTTGGGGCATGTCTGAGGTTGAAACTTCACAGGATGGTTTTGACCTAAGCCTAAGCGAGTGGCTAGCCCCCGTATCTGGTGGGGGAGGGGAAAAAGGAGCAGGTAAGAGACCACAAATTACAGTTTTTGGACTGACGCCTAGGGATGGCTCTCCTTGCTGGGTGTCCCACTAGTCTGGAAGGAAAGCTTGTAAATTTTTAGAGAGGCTAGAGATGTAAGTTTCCTCTCTCCTTACTGTTTGAAAACTACCTTTTTAATTGCAAAAGGGAATATAAACACGTACCAACAACAGACAGCAGTACTGGAAGGAGTCCAGAGGCAGTCCTACTCGTTGCTGACTCCAGTTCAAAATATTTTGCATGCCTGGAATTTTCACCCACCTCAGAGGTTTCTTCTGTGAGCAATTAAAAAACAGCCTATAGATCAGAATTTCCATAAAATAGCTCTTACTTAGCTTGCAACATTTGTCAGGCTTTTTCTTGGTGAATTCTTCAAATACATCTTTGTTCTTTGAAGAAAAAAAAAGAGACACCAGGCACAGCAGTTCATGCCTGTGGAATCCCAGCACTTTGGAAACCCAAGGCAGGAGTATCTCTTGAGGCCAGGAAGTTGACACCATCCTGGGTAATATAGCAAAACCCCACCTCTACCAAAAAAAATTTTTTAAAAACTAGTCGGGCATGGTGGGGTGCTCCAATAGTCCCAGCTACTCAGGAGGCTGAGGAGAGAGGATTGCTTGGGCCCAGTAGTTCGGGGCTGCGGTGAGCGATGATCATGCTGCTGCACTGAAGCCTAATCAACAGAGCAAGACTCTATCTGTAAAAAAAAAAAAAAAACAACATAAAAAGAGTATAAGGGAGGAACTGACCTTGGCAGTGTGTTATGAACAGCCGCCTGGCCCGTAGCACGCCTCGGTTCCCTGCCGGCTGCCAGCCCCAGTGCATGAATGGCTCCATTCTGTCTTTGCAGAGTGAAGATTCAGATGAGGATGAGCCCTGTGCCATCAGTGGTAAATGGACATTCCAGAGGGATAGCAAGAGGTGGTCCCGGCTTGAAGAGTTTGATGTCTTTTCCCCAAATCAAGACCCGATCCCCGGGTCCCCGGACGATTCCGGCCCGAAGAGTGCCACGAGCTCCAGAGACCCGCGGACTGACCCCAGCGATCACCAGGAGGTGTCCTCCGTCCTCAGCCTGAGTAGCACCAGCAGCCTCCCAAGCCACGCGCCCCCCAGCGAGGACGCTGCGACCCCCTGGACTAACTCCGTCATCAGCATCTGCTCCTCCAGCAACTTGGCAGGCAATGACGACTCTTTCTGCAGCCTGCCCTCTCCCAAGGAACTGTCCAGCTTCAGCTTTAGCATGAAAGGCCATGAGAAAAACGCCAAGTCCAAGACGCGCAGTCTGCTGAAACGGATGGAGAGCCTGAAGCTCAAGGGCTCCCACCACAGCAAGCACAAAGCACCCTCCAAGCTGGGCCTGATCATCAGTGGGCCCATCCTGCAGGAAGGCATGAACGAGGAGAAGCTGAAGCAGCTGAACTGCGTGGAGATCTCCGCCCTCAACGGCAACTGCATCAACGTCCCCATGGTACGAAAGAGGAGCGTGTCCAACTCCACGCAGACCAGCAGCAGCAGCAGCCAGTCTGAGACCAGCAGCGCGGTCAGCACGCCCAGCCCTGTCACCAGGACCCGGAGCCTCAGCGCCTGCAGCAAGCGGGTGGGCATGTATCTGGAAGGCTTTGATCCTTTCAATCAGTCCACGTTCAACAATGTGATGGAACAGAACTTCAAAAACCGCGAGACCTACCCTGAGGACACGGTGTTCTACATCCCCGAAGACCACAAGCCTGGCACTTTCCCCAAGGCCCTCTCCAAAGGCAGTTTCTCCCCCTCAGGGAATAACAGCTCTGTGAACTGGAGGACTGGAAGCTTCCACGGTCCTGGACATATCAGCCTGAGGAGGGACAACAGCAGTGGCAGCCCCAAGGAACTGAAGAGACGCAATTCCTCGAGTTCTACGAGCAGCCGTCTGAGCATCTACGACAACGTGCCGGGCTCCATCCTCTACTCCAGTTCAGGTGACCTGGCTGACCTGGAGAATGAGGACATCTTCCCCGAGCTGGATGACATCCTCTATCACGTGAAGGGGATGCAGCGGATAGTCAATCAGTGGTCGGAGAAGTTTTCCGATGAGGGAGACTCCGACTCAGCCCTGGATTCCGTCTCTCCGTGTCCGTCCTCTCCAAAACAGATACATCTGGATGTGGACAATGACCGAACCACGCCTAGTGACCTGGACAGCACAGGCAACTCCCTCAATGAACCTGAAGAACCCTCCGACATCCCAGAAAGAAGGGATTCTGGGGTTGGGGCTTCCCTGACCAGGTCCAACAGGTAAGAGCTTTTCTCCTTCCTCCATGTTGGGAAGGGGGAATCAGAAGGAGACTACTTCCCCTGGTCCTGTAGAAGGAAATGAGATAAGGTCTGCAATTCATAGCTATTACATTCCTAGGGAAGGTGTCTGACCAGGAGGTACCAATATGCAGAAAGAATAGATATTATGTAAGAGGCATGGAATTCCACTTGGGAAGGTAATAACAATTCTGGGGATGAAATTAGTGCCATTGAACTGTACACTTAAAAAGTACTAAATGATCCAGGCACAGTGGTTCATGCCTGTAATCCCAGCACTTTGGGAGGTTGAGGCAGGAGAATTGCTTGAGTCCAGGAGTTCAAGACCAGCCAAGGCAACATAGTAGAACCTCATTCTACAAAAAAAAGTTTCTTAATTAGCTGGGCGTGATGGGACCTGTGGTGGAAGGATTGCCCGAGTTCAGGAGGTCGAGGCTGCAGTGAGCCGTGATTGTGCTATTGCACGCCAGTCTGGGCAACAGAGTGAGACCCCTAGTCAGAAAAAATAAAAAAGGCTAAAATGGTAAATTCTATGCTGTATATTTTACCATGGTGGGAAAAAAAAGAATGGAATAGAAATCAAGTTCTCTTAGCTCCTAGGATAAGCTGCTGGTGAGCACCCCATTTCTAATTTTGCATCTACCTGTTTAAAAGCTTCTGTACTCACTCACTTTTCTACGGTCCTCTTGTAGGCACCGACTGAGATGGCACAGTTTCCAGAGCTCTCATCGGCCGAGCCTCAACTCTGTATCACTGCAGATTAACTGCCAGTCTGTGGCCCAGATGAACCTGCTGCAGAAATACTCACTCCTAAAGTTAACAGCCCTGCTGGAGAAATACACCCCTTCTAACAAGCATGGTTTTAGCTGGTAAGAGTTTAAACTGCTCAGTAAATTGTTGCTGAAAGTGATATTTTTGATCAGCTCTCTGAGGTTATCCCACACTAAGTAAATGAAGTTCTATCCTTTATTAATTTATTTCATCTATTGTCCTGTGTATCCATCTCTGTACTTTGGAGGCCACATCTGATAATATTGAAACCAGTGTAGTTTTGGGAAACTGTCAGGAGGGGTTGATAGATTGAGTTTTCAGCTCTTTGAGTGACAGATTGCCAGTTGATGGGGCTAAGAATGCATTACTCTTACATCCTATGGAATAGGCGCCTCCTTTCCAGTGGTAGGAATAGTCCAATATAGATAAATATATCATAGAATCAGATAATATTTATGGAAGGAAAGGAAGAAAAAAATCTCAAGATATTATGAGATCACCTTTGAAATGCTGGACTTACAGCATTCAACCTTATAACCCTTATTCACACACGTTTTTAGAAATCATTTTGGTCTAGGCACAGTGGCTTATGCCTGAAATCCCAGCCCTTTGGGATTGCTTGAGCCCAGGAGTTCAAGACCAGCTTAGGCAGCATAGCGAGACCTCCTCTATACCCTCCCCCAAAAAATCAAAATTATTAGCTGGGTGTGGTGGCACATACCTGTAGTCCCAACTATTCAGAGACTGAGGTGGAAAGATGGCATGAGCCCAGGAGGTCAAGGCTATGGTGAGCCATGATTGTGTCACCATGCTCCAGCCTGGGCAACAGAGTGAGAACCTGCCTGGCTCCAAAAGAAAAAAAAATCATTTTGATTGTGCATATTGGCAGCATCACTGAAAAATCTACCTGTGCAAAAGAGTTTAAGTTACATTTTTTTCCCCTAGCAAAGGCTTTCAAACAGTGAATAATAAATCTAAGGAATTCACCACTCTAAGATATTTCTAGACTAAAATATAAATAAGGATGAAATGTATTGGACCAATTATACATGATCACTCTGAAAAATATGGGCCTTGATGTATATAGTGGGAGAGGTAGACTGTTCGGTTGGATGGGTGTGGACACGACCTAATCTGCGTGCATCTAAATTTTTCTATCAGTGCAAAGCAGAGAAATGTCTCTAGCTTGACATCTCAGTGCATTTTTCGGTGTCACCTGGATATCCTTAAGACTTTCCAGTAACCTGAGTGTTTATTATCCGTCTGCATAACTACTGCATTTTAGAAAACTATAGAAACAGCCCATTTCATTAGTAGTGCTCTGTAGCAAACCCACGTAGCTTGAACGAGTCAGGGAACTGTTCTCTCTCCAGCTCCTCCTCTCTTTGGGACTCGTAGTGAGTTTAACTTCAGCATCAAAGCACCTCCTGTTCAAAGGCTGTTATTATGTGAGCCTTGCTAAATACAGAAGTTGTTTGTTCTGAATGACAGAAATAAGTATTGACCGGTTTATCCTCACATGCTTCAGATTCTCGGTGGGGATCGTAATGTGTTCTTTCCACATTCCGCCGCTGGGCTGTTCTCCCCGACAAAGCGAGTATTATACACACTTACAGCCAGGATACCATATACCGAACTGTATGGAAATACAGATTTGGCTCTGTTCTTTCATTTTACCTTTCCTAGAGCTATAAACAGTAACATGTCATGGCTGTGGGTAAGTGCTCAGAAGTCAAAGCGGTCGGTCTTCTGTAGGGTTCCTCTGTGCTTAGAGTAATATTTTCCCTGCTGGCTATTTAAAACTGCATATTTTAGATTCTCGTTTCTGGATTGCCCCACCCCCTTCCCACCAAACCCTCAAGAATCTAAAAGTCCATAATACTCCTTGAGCTCTGGTCAGTTTTTCCAGTGAGTCAAAAGCAAATGTAAAAGCCTCGCATTGTGGGATCCATGGAGTAGGGAGAAATTCTGCGCGAAGTTCTTTTCCTATTTGGCCTTGCCCTTTCTTGTCCCATTCAGAGAGGTCATTTGTGGAGCTGAAATTTCTGCTTGACAGCCTTAAATGCATGACATGGGTTTCCTGCTGTTGCATACACTGCTGGGGTGGACCTGGTTTCAGGAAGCCAGGGAGCCTGGGGTCAGCTCACAAAACCCCCATTGTTCCATCTTCCTTTAGAAGCCTAAAGATGTTACATTCTCCAGGATCATTAGCAGGAGAGTTTATTTCAGTTTCAGGTCAACACCTAGAGCTTTGGAGTTGGTTCTCATTGTGTTAGGCTAATATCATCATGTATTTGATGTTTTCTCATCCAGCATTACTTGAGACTTAGAAGTGATTTTTTTTTCTTTTTTTGAGTTGAAGTCTCACTCCGTCACCCAGACTGGAGTACAGTGGCATGCTCCCAGCCACTGCAGCCTCGACCTGCTGGGTTCCTGCGATCCTTCCGCCTCTGCCTTCCAAGTAGCTAGAACTATAGGCGCACCTACCCACCTGGCTTATTTTTAATTTATTGTGGAGATGAGGTCTCACCAAGTTGCCCAGGCGGGTCTCGAACCTGCGGGCTCAGGCAGTCCACTCACCTTGACCTCCCAAAGCTCTGGGATTACAGGCTGAGCCACCGAGCCCAGCCTAGAAGTGATTCTTATCCTTCTTCTAGACAAATGGGAACTTGTTTCCAGACTCTATCAGAAGCACTTCATTAGGGTGTTGTATGTTGTTTCCAGCTCCTGTTTCTTCTCTACCCCCTGTTTTTTAGGAAGCTCATCGACTCCCTTAAGGCTGTAGACCTCCATTCTCAAGATTAACAGTGCAAGGGCATTCCCCACTGAGGAAATGAGACTAGGCCTCATGACCTGAACTCTTGGAAGACCTAGAACAGCACTGTCCAAAAGAACTATATGATGATGGGAATGTTCTACATTTGCACAGAATACGACAGTAACTACTGGCCACAAATCAGGGAGCACCTGAAATGTGACTAGTACAACTGGGGAACCGAATTTGTCATTTTATTTAACTTAAATTTAAATAGCCACCATATTAGCACAGTTCTAGAACTCACAGGGTTTACTTGCAGAGATAGACAAGTAGACAACATGCACCCCAACCACCTCTGTGTTCTTTAAACAGGGCTGTACCCAAGTTCATGAAAAGGATCAAGGTTCCAGACTACAAGGACCGGAGCGTGTTCGGGGTCCCTCTGACAGTCAACATTCAGCGCACAGGACAACCCTTGCCTCAGAGCATTCAGCAGGCCATGCGATATCTCCGAAACCATTGTTTGGATCAGGTGAGAGCCACTGCTGGTGGTCCGGCATACTCAGAGGAACTCATATACATGCTTCTTCTTCTAGTCTGGTGCTGAAGACAACGGCTTCCATCTTCATGTTCCTGACAATGTTTTTCTTCCAACAGGTGGGGCTCTTTAGAAAATCGGGGGTCAAGTCTCGGATTCAGGCTCTGAGGCAGATGAACGAAGGTGCCATAGACTGTGTCAGCTACGAAGGACAGTCTGCTTATGACGTGGCAGACATGCTGAAGCAGTATTTTCGAGATCTTCCTGAGCCACTAATGACGAACAAACTCTCAGAAACATTTCTACAGATCTACCAGTGTGAGTATCCTTTGATCTTGAGATTGTTGGCATTGGGGAAAAGTGGGACCAACTTCAGCTTGTGGCTTTCTTTGATGTCGTTTTTTTGACAAGGGGACCTGCATGGTGAGCTCTGGGAAGCACATGTCATCAGTTTCTTCCTTGCCTCTTTGTTTGTGGAGCAGGTTTCTACATACTTACTGAATAATGCAAAAATACATTTCCCTTATCATCAGTCTCTTAATTACTGAAGCACTTGTACTTTTTTACCGTTCTTATCCAGTTTGTTCTTTAATTTGATTCCAAAATAGTGTAATTTGAGATGCTTAGGTAGCGATCAAGTACCAGTATCTCTCTCTGCCTTGTCTACAGAAATTTCAGTTGCTTCACAGCTCTCTCTAGCAAGGCTGTTGTATTTAAAATTTCACAGGTGTCTGTGTGTTTTATCTTGCCATAAAATGAATAAATAATCTTTTTCTGTTATTCCTCTCAGTCTCTGTGAGAAATACTTGAGAAAACAATACCCATGCCCTCCTCACTTTTATGTAAAGCTTAAAGCAAACAGTTGTCTAAATTAATGATCAAGATCAGGATTATGGCTTTTACAGCCTTGTGTTTTTCTTGGCTCAGTGTGGTATTACAGCAATGTAATTTAAAAGCAGCCTCTCTTAGCGCTCAGATTGTCTTCAGAACTGGCATGCTGGACTTTATTTTATGAGAAATGGAGCTGGTCTGGATTATTTCATTAGTTGTTTCATCCTTTCATATTTTATGAAAACACAGGTCACATTTTCCCAACCAAGGTATTTGTTATGTGTTGTAACCATGGAGCTGTTTAATCAGTTTGTCCTATGGAGCTGCATTTGAGTGACTTGATTTTTCCACCACATGCTCTTTAAAAGATTTGTCTATTAAAGGATACCTGAAGGTTGGGTTCAGCTTCTTCTATGTGTAGATTGTTACATGGTCTTATTTACATTATCTATTTGCATATTCATATGCATTTTTAGTAACAGCTTCTCCCTGTGCTTTCTAAAACTTAAAAGATTACTAGTGATTGGGGTGGTGAAGGGGTCAGACCTGGCAGCCCCCACTGGGCTCCCAAGGGGATAGGATGCAGTGGGAACCCTTTTTTCCTAACTGCAGGCTGCTTGGTCCAGAACCCTGTGACTAGCCCCTGGCGTCAGATGCAACCTTGACATGTGCGTGACAGATAAGCGTGGCTCTGTCTCCCTTCCCATCTGCCCTCTACCCCTACCCCTAGAAAAAAGAATTACTAGTTAAATGTATCTGCTGTTTAACTTGACTTGGTAATTAGCAGCTTATTTTTCCCCATTTCAAGAATGAGCAGAGCTAGGCTCAGTGGCTCAGCCTGTAATCCCAGCACTTTGGGAGGCCAAGGCAAGTGGATTGCCTGAGCCCGTGGGTTTGAGACCAGCCTGGGCAACCTCATCTCTACAATAAATAAAAAATAAGCTGGGCACGGTAGCTCACACCTGTAGTTCCGTAGTTCTGGCTACTTGGAAGGTTGAGGAGGAAGGATCACTGGAGCCCAGCAGGTCGACGCTGAGGTGGCTGTGAGCATGCCACTACACTCCAGCCTAGGCGACAGAGTAAGACTCCAACTGAAAAAAAAAAAAAAGAATGAGCAAATCAGTTAAACTTATGAAAGTCCCCAGAGATCTTAAACATTTTGTTGTCAAGGCTAAGAGATCTCAGTTCTTATCCTCTTGTACATATCTCAGATATGATTTTTCATTCACACTAAAGAAAAGCATAACTATATAATATTTTCAGTAATTAAAATGGGTAAATTAGGGATTTTTAAAAAGTGCTTAGGAAAGAAAAAAACTGGTAAATCAAGAGAACAGTCATCATCCGGAGTTGAACTCTGAGATGGATTTAAGAGTGTTTGAGTAGCGTGGGTGTTTAAAATTTTTTAACTCCTCCAGGAGGCAGGAAATACTTGAGGGTTGTGACGCTGGTGGCAGTCCATAATTTTTTCCGTATTAACCTCTAGTACGCTTTCTGCAAGTCCTTGTTCAGTCCTGGGCTGAGGTATTTGATGCTGATATTTGCTTTGGGACATTTCCTTGCAACGTGGGTGGAAAATCACCAAGCTGATGGGGGGAATGCTGGTGTCGGTTGCAGATGTGCCCAAGGACCAGCGCCTGCAGGCCATCAAGGCTGCCATCATGCTCCTGCCTGATGAAAACCGGGAGGTTCTGCAGACGCTGCTGTATTTCTTGAGCGATGTCACAGCAGCTGTGAAAGAAAACCAGATGACTCCAACCAACCTGGCCGTGTGCTTAGCGCCTTCTCTATTCCACCTCAACACCCTGAAGAGAGAGAATTCCTCTCCAAGGTACGGGTCACATGGGAGGGGAGGTGCACAACATACAGAACTGCCTGCAGTTACTTCTAGGACTCTCATGGTGTTTTTGTTGGATTATTTCCTCGACGAAGCAAAAATGAGTTAGCCCACCTTCATTCACAGCCCAGGCACCTCCTTTTCTCTCAGCCCTGGGGACATAAGTTTGTAGACAATCTGGTAACAACCAGGTTGTGAGAGAGAGAAGCATGCACGCAATCTTTGGATTTGTGCTTGGCCTGGCAAGTATTGACACTGAAGCGGGTCTAATAGTGTCATCCTACTTTCTGCCAGCAAAGAGTCATGCAGGTTTACGGGCCCAAAAAACTGGATGGGGAATAAAAGCCTTGCTGCCTCGGCCTCTGCGTGGTCAATAAAGCCAAACTTTTGGCCTATGCCTGAAGTTGGGAGGAAAGAGCCTAAAAGAACTAAGAATAAGCCGAGCTCGGTAGCTCAGCCTGTAATCCCGCGCTTTTGGGAGGCTGAGGTGAGTGGATTGCCTGAGCCTGCGGGTTCGAGACCCGCCTGGGCAGCGAGACCTCATCTCTACAATAAATCAAAAACTTAGCGGGGCGTGGTAGCGCGCTCCTGTAATTCCGGCTACGTGGAAGGCTGAGGCTGAAGGATCGCCAGAGCCCAGCGGGTCGAGGCTGCGGTGGCCGGGAGCAGCCACTGCACTCCAGTCTGGGCGACAGAGTGAGACTCCAACTCAAAAAAAAAAAAAAAAAAAAAACTAAGAATAATGTTGAGCCCCCAAGTTGCTTCTGTCCAGCATCTGGCTTAAGCCAACTGTTGGCAGAATTTCAGTGTAGAACACATGTATACAGGATGGGAGTGGCTGTGGAAGAACACTAGGAATCTGAAAAATAATGAAGACTGATCTTTACCAGGCACAGAACTATGTCCTTTTCTCTTATTATCTCATTTAAACCTCATGCGAATCATATCTGTTTTGCATATGAGGAAAGTGACACTTAGAGGGAGGAGCTAGTTCAGTAACTTGCTTGTATCTGGAAGGGATGGCAGAGCCAGTTCGAGCTTTGTACTTACATGAATATTTCATGTAAAGACCTTCTTTTTTTTTTTGCAAGTTGGAGTCTCACTCTGTCACCTAGGCTGGAGTACAATGGTACACTCACAGCCACCCCAGCATCACCCCCCTGGGCTCCAGCAATCCATCCGCCTCAGCCTTCCAAGTAGTTCGAACTACAGGTGCGCGCTATCACGCCAGACCAGTTTTTTATTTATTGTAGAGATGAGGTCTCGTCAAGGTGCCCAGGCTGGTAAAGACCTTCTGTTGGACCGGGTGCAGTGGCTCAAGCCTGTAATCCCAGCATTTTGGGAGACAGAGATAGGAGGATTGTTTGAGCCCAGGAGTTCAAGATCAGCCTGGGCAACAAAGCAAGATCCCGTCTCTACCAAAAATAGGGAAAAATAACCTGGCATGCTGATGCACACCTGTAGACCCAGCTTCTTGGGAGACTGAGGCAGGAAAATCACTTGAGTCTAGGAGTTGGAGCCTGCAGTGACTGATAAGGATGCCACTGCACTCCAGCCTGGGTGACAAAGTGAAACTCTGTCTCAAAAAAAAAAACCAAAAAAACCTTCTATTGGAGTGTATGAGAAAGTCACTAGCTAGACTTAACTCCTGCAGACTGTATCCATCCAACTGATCCATTTCCTCAACTCTAAAGGAACTTCAAAGTATTTCTTTTTTTTCTTTTTTTCTTTCTTTTTTTTTTTTTTGAGTTGAAGTCTCACTCTGTCGCCCAGACTGGAATACAGTGGCATGCTCCTGGCCACCACAGCCTCGACCTGCTGGGCTCCGGCGATCCTTCCACCTCAGCCTTCCAAGTAGCTGGAACTACAGGCGGGCATTACCACACCTGGCTAATTTTTTTATTTATTGTAGAGATGAGGTCTCACCAAGTTACCCAGGCAGGTCTCGAACCCGCGGGCTCAGGCAATCCACTCACCTCAGCCTCCCAAAGCGCGGAATTACAGGCTGAGCCACCGAGACCAGCTAAAAGTATTTCTTAACTTGATGCATAGGGCCTAGTTGAAAGCCATGCTTAAATACGCTTTTAACTAATTCTAAAAGTTTACTGAAAATTTCCAACTGCAATGGGAGAGAGAACTAGAGATGAGTAGAAGAGAAAGATCAAATAAAATTGAGACATAACCTCTAGGAACCAACAGACATATTTCTCACCTTTGGGAGGGATTTGAGTGTGTTTAAACAGATAAAAATAGTGGCCTCCTTTACTCCAGCTTTAGTGACTCCCATTCTATACCCTTCTTTCTCAGAAAGCTGCCTTCTTTCTCTCCACTGTGCACTCATAGACCTTACAAGCTGCCCTGTTTAAAATAGGAACCCCTGACCAGGCACAGTGGCTCACCCCTCTAATCCCAGCACTTTGAGAGGCTGAGGTGGGAGAATCACTTGAGCCCAGAAATTTGAGACCAGCCTGAGCAACATAGTGAGACCTCATCTGTATAAAAAAAAATGAAAATTAGAAGGGCATGGCAGTATGTGCCTATAGTCCCAGCTACTTGGGAGGCTGAGGCAGAAGGATCCCTTGAGCCCAGGAGGAGGCTGTGGTGAGCTGGGGTCATGCCCTTATACACCAGGCAGGGAGACAGGGAGATCCTGTCTCAAATAAATAAATAAAGTAAGAACCTGTTTAAACAAAATGGCTTTAAATTGTCTGGATTTTCATCAGAAATGAGTCTCTTTAATGTTTTTTGTGCGTTGTTGGTAAAGCTCTGAGAAACTCTGTTGACCAAAGTAAAAGCTCTCTTAAACCACTTAACAACAAATAGGCCCTAGTGAAATGTTTGGATTTTTGTTTCCTTTCTTTTGGGTTTTCTCAAATAATTCAAATATATAAATATTTGAGTTGTTTTTCTCCTGCATTTCTTCTACCTAGGGTCATGCAAAGAAAACAAAGTTTGGGCAAACCAGATCAGAAAGATTTGAATGAAAACCTAGCTGCCACTCAAGGGCTGGCCCATATGATTGCTGAGTGCAAGAAGCTTTTCCAGGTAAGGAATTGAGAAGGTTGTCTCCTTTGTTAAGGATAACTTGAATAAGCACAAAACCTTAGGCTTGATCCTTCTTCATGTCTTACCAAAAGAACTTTTTTCATAGCTGGAAATTATATACACGGCCTGAGAATGTCTTATTCACATATATTATAATGTATATGCTTGTTAGAGTTAACAGTGTTTAATATAATTGCCTGCTTCTCTCTGGTATACCCCTTTACTTAAAAAGCAAAAGCAACAGATTATCTGGAACTAAAATTCTGTATCTAAATTAACCAGGCTTGGTGGCGTGTGCCTGTAGTCCCAGGTACTGGAGAGGCTAAGGTAGGATTACCTGAGCCTAGGAGGTCAAGGCTACTGTGAGCAGTGATCACACCACTGCATTCCAACCTGGGTGGGCATAGTGAGACCTTGTCTCAAAAAAAGAAAAGAAAAAGTTCTGAGAAAGTATCTGAGAAACCTGCCTTGATCGATATAACTTAGCCCCCTTACTGTAGATTTGGAAAGAAGAATCCTGTATACAGGAATACATTTATGAAGGTGATCTGTCAGCAGAGATACCCAATGTCTGTGGGAAGATGTCGGCACTGCCTGAAGAGCCCGGTTATGGTTTCAACCCTGCCTTTTCTCCTTTGATGAGCACTGAGAATGAGGACAGGTCGATTCACCCCCTTTTCGTCTCTCATGTCCCTTACAGGTTCCTGAGGAAATGAGTCGATGTCGTAATTCTTACACAGAACAAGAGCTGAAGCCCCTCACTCTGGAAGCCCTGGGACGTCTGGGTAATGACGACTCAGCTGACTACCAGCACTTCCTCCAGGACTGTGTGGATGGCTTGTTCAAGGAAGTGAAAGAGAAGTTTAAAGGCTGGGTCAGCTACTCTACCTCTGAGCAGGCTGAGCTGTCCTATAAGAAGGTAAATCTTCTTCTCCCTGTTGTCAACCAGTTGAGTCCAGCAGTCGGGACTTGGGTTGATCAGTGATGAGACTCTTCTGCCATAATCCTTCCTTGTAGCACTGGGCAGCCAAGTGATTCAGATTCCCCCAGGTCAGAGGAAACCTGTCAAAGGAGGAGTAATGCTCATCTTGCGTAACACTTAGGGGAGGATTTCAAATGATTTCTTTTTGTAAATTTAATTTCATTTTTATTACTTTTTTTAAAAGCAGGATTTATTGAGAGGACAGAAAAACTCCCAGGGTGGGAAGGGACCCGAGGGGTTGCCCTATTTTATTTTAGAGTTGTAGGATACAAGGTAGGATTGTGTACTTAAATAGTTTAGGTACAGGTGAAAATTGGGGCCTCTCATTGGACCTCACTTTGCCTAGATTAAGATCAGGCATCCTTATTGATGTTATGGGTCCCTTCCTTTCCCCGCCCCCCCACAGTGTCCCACTATTTGTAGTATTATGGTAGGTGTCCCAGCGCTCTAAAACTATTTCTAATGAAATCCTTTGATTCCACACAATCACACCAGGGTTCTCTGGAGTGTTTTGCCAATGTCATTGAGCTTCTGGGAATTTTATGACATGCTTAGATTTTTCCACAATTTGGTCAGAATCCCTTTGAACTCTCCTGTGTTTTTGGTTGCTCTACTCTTGACCCTTAAATGAGCAGGGAGCGTTTGGAGGAAATGAATTGTTAGAATCGAAAAACCCTTGAGGGCAGAGGCATCTTGTCGAGGTTAGCAGGATAAGTCCATAGGTGGTATTAAAACTATCCCTACTACTTTGAAAATAAACAAGGAGAGTAGGTTGGGTGGCCATGTAGGCTTTGAGAGTGCAAATAAATGATTTTACATTATTACATTCATCCTGATATAGGTCCCCAAAAAACTAGTGTAATCATTTTTGGCTGGACTCGGTGGCTCAGCCTGTAATCCCAGCACTTTGGGAGGCCGAAGTGAGTGGATTGCCTGAGCCTGTGGGTTCGAGACCCACCTGGGCAACTTGGTGAGACCTTGTCTCTACAATAAATCAAAAATTAGCCAGGCGTGGTAGCACGCGCCTGTAGTTCCAGCTCTTGGAAGGCTGAGGCAGAAGGATCGCCGGAGCCCAGTGGGTCGAGGCTGCGGTGGCCGGGAGTTTGCCACTGCACTCCAGTCTGGGTGACAGGGCGAGACTCCAACTCAAAAAAAAAAAAAAATTATTTTTGCCAGAATTGACAACAGCTATTTTGTTCCCTTTTCTGGCTTGCTTTTGAATATACTTGGGGACAGCAGCCTATTTTTTTTTCCATCCCCCACCTCGACAACAGCCTGTTAAAGTCATAAATGTATTAGCCTCTAAACATATGACTATGGTCCCAGCTAACAATTTGCCTTCAAAGTCTAGGAGTGTATGGATTCTCTTAGCACTGAAAAACACATCCTCTTCTCAGGTCAGTGAAGGGCCCCCTCTAAGACTCTGGAGGTCAACCATCGAAGTCCCTGCTCTGCCTGAGGAAATCTTAAAGCGCCTACTTAAAGAACAGCACCTTTGGGATATAGACCTGCTGGATTCTAAAGTGATTGAAATCCTGGACAGTCAGACTGAAATTTACCAGTATGTCCAAAACAGTATGGCACCCCACCCTGCTCGGGACTACGTTGTTTTAAGGTGAGAGCTTCCTTATTACTTTTTATGATAAAGATGACTCCATATCCAAACTGAGCCTATATGTCACGGAATCTTACAAGATGATGTAGTTATTCAAAATAGAACATATGTCTCCAGAAAAGTAGTGAACCCTTCCAGATACAGAAAATATATCCACATTTATTTCCTCTCCAGAAAAGTAGTGAACCCTTCCAGATACAGAAAATATATCCACATTTATTTCCAGTTCTGAGTCCCTCGCTGAAAATGGTTTGAACTCTTTGGAGCAAAACTCAGGAAAAGAAGCCCATCCAAATGAGTACACTTATTGGTAGCAAATTTTTGCCCCTTTTAGGATAGGTTTTCTTGTTAGAAACAGCTAGTGAATGAGTAAGTCAGGAACTAACATTTGAGTCCCATGGGAGATATGCTTAAGGCTGATTTATATGTAATGCATAAAGTCTCTAGGGACATTACTGAAAGAAGAATTCCAAAAATCTTTGCAGAAATGTCACATTGGAAGTCTAGAACTTTTTTTCTTTCTTTCTTTTTTTTTTGAGTTGGAATCTCACTCTGTTGCCCAGGGTGGAGTGCAGTGGCACATCACGGCCACAGCAGCCTCGACCCGCTGGGCTCAGGCAACCCTTCTGTTTCAGCCTTCCAAGTAGCTGAAACTACAGGCACACACCACCACGCCTGGCAGTTTTTTTGATTTATTGTAGAGACGAGCTCATGCCATGTTGCCCATGCTGGTCTCCAATCCCTGGGCTCAGGCAAGTCCAGAACTTTTCAAACAGCCAGTACTCCTTTGAGTGTCTATGGGCTAAGACATTTGTGAAATACAAAAGTGGTTTGAAGCTGCACCTCAAATGGATTCTGTTTTTAAAGAAGAGACTGTCTGAGCACACACACACTCTGTAGAAGCAGCTCTGTACAGAGTTCCTCATTCCAGAGTTCTTGTACAACAGTGTCTAAGTGAATACCACAGACTGGGTAATTTATAATGAACAGAAATTTGTTTGGCTCACAGTTCTGAAGGCTGGGAAGGCCAAGATCAAGGGACCTTCATGCTGTGTCATTCCATGGTCAAAAGGACAAAGAAAAGGCAAGCGAGAGTGAGAAAGCAAATTTGGCAGCCTCAAGCCCTTTTGTAATGGCATTAATCCTCCTCCCATTAGGCCTCGCTTTCCAACGAGGCCTTGGAATTGGAGATTAAGTTTCCAGCACATGCTTCTTGGGGGACACATTCAAACCATAGCAAGTACTTTAGATGATGCCATTTACCTAAGCCTGGGTCACACAGTATAGCCAGTGTCTCTGGCCCCTCAGCTGTCTCCCTTTAGAGTAAAGCACCATTTTAAACTTGGCTTCCAGGAAATTCCATTTTCCCCCCATCTGGTTATATCTCTACAGGACCTGGAGGACTAATTTACCCAAAGGAGCATGTGCCCTTTTACTCACCTCTGTGGATCACGACCGGGCCCCTGTGGTGGGTGTGAGGGTTAACGTGCTGTTGTCCAGGTATTTGATTGAACCCTGCGGGCCAGGAAAATCCAAACTCACCTACATGTGCAGAGCTGATTTAAGGTACGTTCTCAGTGTGATTTTTCGACATGATGAGGGTCATAAGAGGTTCAGACTTTTTGTCTGATGTGCAGAATGGCTTAAATGAATCCATCGTTGTTTCTTGATGACTTCATGTTTATAAAGTAGCATCCTCATGTTTGTTGGTCTTTTGGGTACTCTTTCATAACTCTCTTTCATAACTTGAATCTCTTGGAAAATACGATACCAGAACAACGCAAATATGGTAGTTCTACTACAAATTTTTCTTTTTTTTTTTGAGTTGGAGTCTCACTCTGTTGCCCAGACTGGAGTGCGGTGGCCGGGAGCCTCGACCTGCTGGGCTCCAGCAATCCTTCCGCCTCAGCCTTCCAAGCAGCCAGAATTACAGGCATGCACCACGCCCGGCTGATTTTTTGTTTTATTGTAGAGATGAGGTCTCGCCAAGTTGCCCAGGTGGGTCTCGAACCCATGGGCTCAGGCAATCCACTCACCTCAGCCTCCCAAAGGCGCGGGATTACAGGCTGAGCCACCGAGACCGGCTTCTACTACAAATTTAAAACCACAGGAAACAATCGCTTTTATGCATTTGCACTAGCAAGCAGATGTTTCTCATTTTATTTCAATGCTTTCTAACTTAAATAAAGCATCTGCTTTTTCTTTCTGCGATAGGGGCCACATGCCAGAGTGGTACACAAAATCTTTTGGACATTTGTGTGCAGCTGAAGTTGTAAAGATCCGGGACTCCTTCAGTAACCAGAACACTGAAAGCAAAGACAGCAAATCTAGGTGATTACTGAAGCAAGACAACTGCCTCCACCACCTGGGTATTTGGCTTCTAGAACTTTGGCGGTCCTTGGAAGAATGGGTTCTGTGTCTGATCCTGAAACAAAGAAAACTACAAATTGGGAGTATAGGAATTGACTATGGTGGTTTGATACGTTTTTAAAGCTGCTTCCTGTTTGTTTAAGGTCTATATGAATAGACCTTGACTGGAATTTATAAGATTGTGCAAAAAAACAAAAAAGTGTTTGTATTCTTATTCAGATTGCTTCTGAGAAGCAAAACTCTTTAAATACATTACGGAAGATAATGAAGATACTTCGTTATTTTGTGATATTGGTGTATGTATACCTGTGTCATTTTATGTGCAGTGTGTTGAGGGACTGGTGTATCCACTGGAATAGTTGGTACTCTTTGACATGTTTTCTCACCGAGATGAGCAAAAGAAAGGTTTGCACAGAGGAGTGTGAATGTGTTTGTTGCTGGTTGAATGGCCATAGATGTATACGATGGGTTCAGTGTCTGGCACACTGAGACGCCTCCAAGAAGGAGATTGATGAATCAGGTTCAGTTTAACCTGGAATATCTGACTACCCATGGATCCATCCAGAAAGGGGCCCAACACCTTTGTTCATTTATTATTTGTTTTCCAAGTTGCTAAATGTATTCCTTCTCCATGAACCTCTTCTGTACTTGGGTTATAATAGATTTACTCTGATACCCGTTTCAAATGCCATTTGTTTTTAGACTCAATTGCAAATAGTGATGTATTTTAGCCAGTATAGATTAGTTTAGCGATGAGCCCACTCCAGCTCCAAAGCACAGGGGTTTTTTTTGTTTTGTTTTTAAGTAGAGACATAAACACTGAACATTCTAACATTTACTCTTGAATCAAGCATCAAAACTTTTTCCCTGTTAGAATTCTTTGCATTTTCATTTTTTATGAAGAAACTCTTTCTACCTTAAATGAATCATCTGCGTATGGGAACATAGGAAACTGTGTGTGTCCCAAGGAAGTCCCTAACATTTAACCCAACCACAGAAGGCATTTTTTTTTTCTTGTTAACAGCATTCCTAAAAGCCGTACATGCTTAATTGGGTTTGTTCTTCTTATCAGCAAATAGGTTTTCTGGTTTAATGAAATTTTTGTTTTATTTTTTCTTATGTTTGTTTTTCTTTTCCTTTGGAATGCCCTTGAAATATATTTTTAGTGGTAATGGACAATAGTAATCTTAGTGAAAACAACAAACAAACAAACCAGTGCAGTTTTTTGGAAGGGTGGTCTTTATTCGGGTTTTACTGTAATGGTAAAGATTGACTCAAGAGACAGTATTAGTAAATTTATTTTGTATGGATCAAAAGTGAAAAATGTATGAATGAGAGTTGTAAGAAGGATTTTTATTTTGTTGTGACATAATTTAGTTGCCATTATCAGTGTTATTTCAGAGGTTCTTTGAAGAAGTTCCGGGAGTCAGATTAGAGTTTTAAAATTGGAGTATTTTGGATATCAACGTTCCTCATGAAGATATACTTGTATATCCAATTTTGATGGCTTTCAGACTTGTAAGATTGTATGTTGTATATAACATTCTATTATGAAACATGTACACATGTCCACTGTGCTTTCAAACATAGATAAAGCATGATAAAGATTATTATTTAAAATATACTTGTATTTATACCTCAGATATTCTTTTGGGTTTTGTACCTCAAGGCTCCCCCCGCATTGTAAATACACTTTACATGAATACAGTCTAAGTGAGAAAAATAAATAAAAGGAAGAGGTTTATAACTTGCTCTATATCTGTACAGAATATAATCAATAAGTGCACTATTAAATGTTTAAAGTAAGGGAAACGTCTGGCCTACTTTCCTTTGTATAATTGCATTGCACTCCCACCCTTAAAGCCAGAGTTTGCAAAGCACAGCATTCTAGCATCAACTAAAATCAAAAGATAGGTTTGCTGAAGGCAAAAATTTGACTGCAGATCATTCCAAGGCCAAACTGCAATTGAGCCACTCACTCACAAACAGGAAACCCTGGTGAAGGTTCAGGAAGCATGGGGACACTCTCCAAACAAAGCTCCAGTTAGGAAACGATGCTGAGAAAGTTACAAGAAGAAACAACAAGAGAAAAGATGCTCATAAGCAAAGTCAAGGTCACCGATTAATTCCACTAAAGGTCTCTTTCCCACTGTTTAACAGCTTCCCTGTTGAAAGGATTCCTTACATATTTGACAAGAGAAGAATTTGAAGGATATGAACATGCTCAAGAACTCTGCTGAAGTCTTCCAAAGCATTATCACTACAACTTATTTGTGTGACTAATTGCCTAGATTGTAAGCTCTTTGAGGGCAGGGCTCGTCTCCTATACGTCTTTATAATCCTCTGTAGCAGCTTTCAGTATTTTGTATGTGTAGGCACCTAATAAATTTATTATTTGCTAAACTGAGTTGACTGAATCAGCATCTGTTATTTCTAAGGGAAGAGAGTGTGGGATTCCATCCATCTTAAACCACTTTGACTCATCACTGCCTACCCTATTGATTTCAGAGATTGGAAGTGGTTAAACCTAATGGGATCTTAAAGTTTAAACTGAAAAAGATGACATAAATTGTTATGCCTAGTAGGGTCTTATTAAAACTGTGGCATGCGGTTAAAATAGAGGAAAAATAGCCAGGTGTGGTAGCGCACGCCTGTGGTTCTAGCTACTTGGAAGGCTGAGGTGGAAGGATTGCCAGAGTGAGACTCCAACTCAGAAATAAAATAAATAAAATAGAGGAAAAAATGTACACCCCCCAATTTCATATATTAGAAAATAAGGAAGATTAAACATTATGAGCTAACCGTCTATCTCAAGAAGTTAGGGAGTAAAAACTACAACAGAAATCTTAAAAAGAAGGGAATTGCTATTGTCGGAATGTTTGTGTTCCCCACCCCCCAAATTCATACGTTGACAGCCTAACCTCCAAGGTGATATTAGGAGGTGAGTAGGGCCTTTGAGAGGTGATGAGTTCATGAGGGTGGAGTCCTCATGAATGGGATTGTTCCCTCATAAAAGAGGCTTGAGAGAGACCCCTCGCCCCTTACACCTCCTGAGGACACAACAAAAAGGAGCTGTCTATGAACCAGAAAGTGACCCCTCAGAAGACATTAACTCTTAATCCTTTATCTCAGACTTCCCAGCCTCCAGAACCGTGAAAAATAAATGTTATTTATTTAACAACAACAAAAGCCTAATGGGGTCTTATTTAAACCGACAGTGAAAAAGATACCATATAGAGATACTATGACTGTTGATGCTAAATTTAAGAGTTTTTTTATGATGGAATGTCAGCCTAGTCCATGTTTTACTTACAATAAATATGATGTCTATCTTAGAAGTTTTACTGTGACATATTTACTCTGGACATAAACGGGAGAAAAACCCAACCTTGTTATTTTTTGAAAAGACACACACAACAAAGCCTTTTTAAAATTTGACTCTTACGCCAGACCTGGTTTACTCAGAGCTGTGTAAAATAAAGGTCAAAATGTCTTAGGCTTGAATACCCGATGCAAGGTGTCTGAAGAGTTCTGGAGTCATTGGTTACCAGTAGGTTACATAATACGGGGTACCAGGATGGAGTAGCCGCCCTCACAGTCCCCTGCTTTGGGTTTAGATTGCTTCTGACATGCCACTCACCATTTGCTTATTTAGCTCATTTAGTCACCTGTTCTCGTCCATGTACCTCACACTGAAGATAGAGCGTGAGCAAGACTGGCATCACCCTGCCCTTGCAGAATTAAGATATGCCCTCACAGATACTAAAATAGAAGTGATAATGCCATGTGGTGAGCATTAGAACAGGTTCTTAGACAGTTGGGAGGGGGAGTTAAGGTCTTCATGAAGCTCAAGGTCATTGCTCTAAAGACTCCGCTTACCCTTGTGACACATAGAAGGAGGACATGATTCTTCCCTTGTACAAGCATAGAGCAGTTAGACATGTGGCCTGACAGCAACTTACCCATTTCCTCTGATCGTTCCTTACTTCTTGAATACATGGGTAACATCTTCTGACAGGCTTCTTAACTTGCAACCCAGGATCGGAATCCCGGTCTTGTGATTTCTTTCTGCAGTCCCTCGTTATGCCCTTCCCACCACACAAGAATGGCATGAAGTGCTACTAAGATATTTGTGAAGGTGCTTTGAAAAGCATGGGCTGCTTTGGGAGGCTGAAGTGAGTGGATTGCCTGAGGCTGGGGGTTCGAGACCCGCCTGGGCAACCTGGCGAGATCTCATCTCTACAATAAATAAAAAAATTAGCTGGGCGTGGTAGTGCGTGCCTGAAGTTCCAGCTATTTGGAAGGCTGAGGCAGAAGGATCGCCGGAGCCCAGCAGGTCGAGGCTGCGGTGGCCGGGAGCAGCCACTGCACTCCAGTCTGGGCAACAGAGTGAGACTCCAGCTCAAAAAAAAAAAAAAAGAAAAAAGAAAAGCTAGGGCTTGGCCAGACAGGGTGGCTCATGCCTGTAATCCCAGTGCTTCGGGAGAATAAGGCAGGAGGATTCCTTGAGGTCAGGAGTCAGAGACCCGCCCGGACAATGTAGCCAGACTCTGCCTCTATTAAAATTAAATGTAAAATTTAAAATCAGAAAAGCAAGGGCTATTCAACTGTAAAGAAACACTCAAGAAAGCAAAGTGGAATTGAGCCCAAATGCTTACCTCCCCTGCCTATGGAAGCATACATTAATGATTATAAAGCAGAAATCCCAAACAATGAGATCATGGCATGCATGTCATCTTGGTGTTCCATCAGGATGAAATTCGCCTAAGGAATTTAAATTCCACTTGCCTAAGGAATGCAAATTACAAAAGATTTCAAAGAGCCTGTGGCAGGAGAGGCTCAGGTAGGTCTGTGCAGTTGCAATGAGTTTGGGCCCATTCTGGAGTGGATGATCAGACTTTTGCTGGCAGGGAGTGTGCTTAATCATGTTGGTAACTGTAGCCTGAAGTAATTACCCTTGCTGTCTATACAAAGTTCCCATGAGAGCAGTCGGTTTGCCCATCTGGACCCAAGGCTGTTGACACCTATAGTATAAACACCTTCTGCACAGATTTTTCATCTCCTTGGACTTTTTGAAAAAGGGAGGGGAGGCCAGGCGCGGTGGCTCAGCCTGTAATCCCAGCACTCTGGGAGGCCAGGGCGAGAGGATTGCCTGAGCCCAGGGGTTCGAGACCAGCCTGGGCAACTTGGTGAAACTTTGTCTCTACAATAAATCACAAAAAAATTAGCTGGTGTGGTGACGTGCATCTGTAGTTCCAGCTTCTTGGAAGACTGAGGCAGAAGGATCGCCTAAGCCCAGCAGATCAAGGCTGTGGTGGCTGTGATCATGCCATTGCATGCCAGCCTGGGAGACAGGGTGTGAGACTCCAACTCAAAAAAAAAAAAAACAAAAAAAACCAGGAGGGGAGTTCAGGGCTAGAAATGTTACTACTCTTAGGAGATTCTCATTTCCTTTCTTCTCTTTCTTATTAAGATACAAAGCATTGTGGAAAGGAAAAAAACTTGACTTTTCTTATGACTCTGAAACAAGGCTCTCGGCAACCATAATGAGTGACATGTTCCCATAAATAGAGTCTGATTTCCAGGGAGGTTGTTTGAAGAGCTTTGTAAATTACAGATGTTTTTAAAAACACAAATGTGTTAGGTCCAAGTCTGCAAGGATTTGTTGAGCTACCAATTATGGTAATAGTATAATGTGCCAGGTATGGGGATGTCGGCTTTACATACAGTGGGTAGCTCATTTAAATTCCATGGCAAGCCGGGCTCGGTGGCTCAGCCTGTAATCCCGCGCCTTTGGGAGGCTGAGGTGAGTGGATTGCCGGAGCCTGCAGGTTCGAGACCCGCCTGAGCAGCGAGACCTCATCTCTACAACAAATCAAAAATGAGCCGGGCGTGGTAGCGCGCGCCTGTAGTTCCAGCTACTTGGAAGGCTGAGGCGGAAGGATCGCTGGAGCCCAGCAGGTCGAGGCTGTGGTAGCCGGAAGCGGCCACTGCACTCCAGTCTGGGCGACAGAATGAGACTCCAACTCAAAAAAAAAAAAAAAAATTCCATGGCAATCTTTTGAAGGAGAACTTATTAGCCCCAGTTTGTGATGAAAATGTTTAAAGGAATAGGAAGGCTTAAAGAAATCCAGGAACAATATAATATTTGCAAAGGGACTCAAGAGATTCTAGAACAGCACTCAACATTATGCTATGGTGAAAATGTCCCCTATCTGCCCTAATTATGGTAGCCACTGGCACACATGGCTATGGCTAGTGTGACTGGGGAGTTGAATGCTTAATTGTATTGAATTTTCATTAATTTAAACTCAAATAGCTACATGTGGCTAGTGTCTACTATATTGGATTGTGCAGCTGTGATTTCAAAGATCTAAGAATATTTCCAAGCAATTCAATCCCTATTGCTCTCTTATACCTATAATAATCCTCTAGGAAGGAAGGAAAGAAGGAAGGAAGGAAGGAAGGAAGGAAAGAAGGAAGGAAGGAAAGAAGGAAGGAAGGAAAGAAAAAGAGAGAAGGAAGGGAGAGAGGACAGAGAGGACGGAGGGAGGAAGAAGGGGGGGGAAAAAGGAAGGAATGGAGGGAGGGAGGGAGAGAGGGAGGGAGGAAGAAAGGAAAGGAAAGGAAGGAGAAAGAGACGGAGTGGGGGGAAGGAAAAGAAAAAAACAAAAAGAAGGAAGGAGGAAAGAAGGAAAGAAAGAGAAAGAAGAAAGAAAAAGAAGGAAGGAAGGGAGGGGGAGGGAGGGAAGGAGGAAGAAGGGGGAAGAAAAAGAAAGAGGAAGGAAGGAAGAAAGGAATCAGAAATATGGTAAATATTTGTAAATATCTAACTAGCCATGTTTCAGGTCAGATAACATCAACTCACAATTCCGCCAGCCCCAAGACTAAAACTGCATCTCAGCCAGTCTATGGTCAGCTTCAGCATTTTTCGGCCGGGGTTTGATGACTGCTTTTCTTCCTGGCTAGAGGATCTGTACGGAGATACAGAGATAAAGATGTGGCTGATCTGAAAAGATGCCCAGCAGTTTAGAATATTCTCCTAGGCTTGCTGCAAATTAAAGGACCCTCACAGCAACCCTGTTCCAGCAACCGCAATTGTGTTTTTGTGGTCTGTGCTGCCTGCAGGGTTCCCTTATCTCTAGGATGGAAACTTCTTTTCTTGTTGATGAGACCGGCCACTCTGCAGCAGCTGTCAGAACCCAGTCTCCTCAATGACAGACGTTCTTGATCTAGGTTTGATAACAAGATGCCTGCACCCAAACATCGGCAGTAACAACTCAAGACACTTCTTCCACCATAATCTATAGCCTTTTCCCTTAAAAGGATTCTTTGTTACAGTCCTTAACATGCTCTATCTTGTTTAAAGGTTTCAAAGGTGTATCATATTAAATGATATCGCTTATA